AAAAGACATCGGAGATAATCAAGCTTGAACGCAACTCTAGTTTGAGTGTTTAATTTATTGAATTTGCTCCAAAGAACATACAAACGGACTTTTGTGCCACAGAATATTCTTCATACAGTTTGTTCTTCAGTACAGTTTGCTTTAAACTACAAGCGGACTTCTATGGATATCAATGGCGTGGAGCTTTCATCGTTTCTCAGTACTCCAATCAAACGATGAACAATCATAACTTTCACAACCATTACAAGGACGGCATGTGACTCCTACCGCGCATGGTGATTGGGCACAAGGGTCATTCAATTTACACTCATCTTCGAAGTCTAGTTTAGGGCAATGTTCTTGACCTGAAAATATAGGAGAGAAATTGGTTTTTTTTTATTAATGGACCGATCGATACTCAGCCACTATTGGAAGACTTCACCCAGATGTCTCTGTATCTTTCGAATCACTGCGTTACTGAGTTGGCTCGCGCCCTTAGCGTGCATGATTCTTGTCGCATTAACATTGCTGGAAGCATTTTAATCGATAGAAGAAGTGGTGGAGATCATTGAAAAAAAGGAAAAGAAGAAACATTAAATCGCACCCACGTCATACGGCGATCTTTTAATCCTGGCTCCAAAAACCTGCGAAAAAAGCTAGTTTTAGTAATATTTCAAATCCATTGAATGCTCCAGTGTTGAAAACCAGCCCACAAAATAAAAGATGCAAATATTCCACGACTTCATTTAACTTTAAATGAAAAAAAAACAACAACAACAACAAACAGAAGAGAAATAAAAGAAGCTAATTATCTGGTTTATGAATTCTGACTCACTTGTGAGGCCTGAAAGCCAACTAGGAATAACAAAAAGCCAGCAACGTAGGTCTTCATGATTTGAAACTTTCAGACTGTGCGATGAAAAAAAAGGCACCGTTCTAGAAAACGCAGAGAAGTGATGAAAAAAGAGTTAAGCAGGGCGTCAGTTTTTTAGTTAAATATTCCAAACTCGGCTATGTCAGCATAATATTCTGCTAATGAAGTCATGGATAAGTCTTCCTGCAACAGACCGTGACAAAAAGAGAAACCAATGCAATATTAAACTTTATATCAAAGAGATGCAGCTTTCCAGTAAAATGAAATAAATTGGGTAAAAAAGCAAATAGTAGGAGAAACAAACCGCTGGAAAAACTAGGAGGGGGTATTCGAAACCTCGACCGTCAGCCATGTCCAACGGAAAGTTCTCTTAAAACAACGGAACCCATACAGCTATAAGTTTCAATCCACATAGGAAATGAATAAAAGGAAGAAATATATGTCTATAGTTAATTAAAAGCCAAACTCACTTAGATATAATTGAAGTCTGCACAGGTGGTTAGCAGCCGAGATCGTCTCAGGAGAGAGCAAAGACGAGAATGAACGTTTAGAAACTGCAGAACGTAATATAAATAACAACGCCACAATGACAAGAGATATATATCAAATATGCCTTAAGCTGTGATTAATTAAAAAACGTCAGCAATAAAGATGAAGTTCAGCTAATATAAAGTTTGTGGTTTACTTTCAGATAATACATACCTCAGATATTTAACAAGCGTAAAGCCAAAGGTATGGATATTGGTAAATGTTCCTTATGTTGAAGGGTGGAATTGGGGTCTATTATAATTACCGCTCATGTGCAAGAGAAACCGGAACACAAATAAGGAAAGCCTAAAACCACATCGAATACCAAATCCGAAAACCCATTGGTGTTTTTACGAAAATCAAATGCTTAAAAACGGAAAATTTGCAAACTGGAATGAAAGCCAAAACCGAAAAACCGAAAATTCCAGTCTTCCCCCCCCATGCATTTGTTTGTTTATCAGATTGATTACTCCACCCGCGAAGCAAATATTTAATTTTTTAATTAAAGTAGTTGCTACAAACAAACACTCCGAGCATAAAGAGATTCCTTTTTTTTTTCCCGATTTTGTGAGTCCTCATGAGTTCTTTTTTTATTATGAGACATATCGGTTTTTCTTAAGGGATCGTGAGTATTTCAACCTTTAAATTTTTAGACAAGATATGATGTCTGGGAATCGTGAATATAAACCAAACTATATTGTTTTCTATTCCAGTACTGACAAAACTGAGGAACCAGACCAATATTTTGTTGAGTCATCCTGACATAGCAGGTTTAGTAAATATCGAGCAACTTTATATGTTGTGTTTCTTGTCGTAATATGATGCTTACATTGTCTTTAAACAAATAGTCAAGAATATAATGCTGACAGAATAGAGGGTCTTAAAGGGATTAACCGCTAGGCGTAAAAGACGGCCAAAAATTTTTGCGGTTTTGCGTAGAAATTGGTAAATTTTAACAGTTAGTCGTAGAAAAAGTTATCCTATCTACGATGTGTCATTTTGTGTTAAAGATAGCTGTAAAATGGGCAAAATTTTAACCGTTGGGCGTAAAAGCCAGATTACTTAGATTCCTGAGAGGTGGGTGACTTCGCTAAACACAAAATTTATTTGTTTCATAAAGAGGGCGATTTTTAGTGGCAATGAAACCAGTTTACAATGAGTCATCGTACAATAATACGTTTTAACATGCTGTTCATGATTCGGGGAAAATCACTGATGTAGAATTTCTTGCAAGATCATGCTTCGCTTGACCTGAGAGACTGGTTGTTAATTAGGTGTCATGCAGTAATACTATACTTTTACAGAAATATGCTTCAATACTTTCCTCAACAGTCTGAACACAGAAAACATTCCAAATGAGCAGTATGCTGTCACACAGGCATCTTAATAAAAACATGCCAAATTGTTAAGGTTTAACTATATTAAACATCATAGTTTATTTTCTCTCAGGATTCTCAGTAAGAGATACATTTTGTGTCCTCCGGTGTTGGGGCTATGACGGAAGTTTACAATC